GAGTATTTATTGTCTTGGTACTACAGATTTTATGGTTCTAAAACTTGAGTAAAAAGTACATTCTAATCCTAACTCTACATATACCCTGTCCCTAAGTCTTAACCAGTTGTATAAACCTGACCACACACAGGCTGGTGACATGAATCCCACTTTCTAATCACAACCTCTTTTGAGCTGTAAGTTAATGACCACATCCCTACAACGTCTGTACAAGGGAAGAGCTTATTATTTCCTGTTAAAGTGAAAAACACTGCATGTGATCATAATCCAAGAAGAAAAGATGTTTTCTTCCAAATGTATTTGGCAAAAATAAGTAGTAATATATTGGCATCATTTCTAGCAGACAGGGCTGCAAACCAGAGGAATTCATGGGATGGCAGCGTAGCATCTAACCAGAATGTTATCAGAGTGCATATACATATACGTATAATCAGATCAATTTTTGGCTTTGTATGTGCTACAGTCTATCTATCTATAAATGACCCTTTATGAAATAGTATCCAACATCAAGCTCTGAGCAACAAGAAGTCTCTTGTTCTGGTTCAGTGATCAGTGTATAAATATAATATGTTTCAATTTTTTTTTTACTGTTTCACTACAGCAGCACATTTTATTTTGTTCTCTGACAGCACACAGAAGCAGTGACCATGAGTGTATTGTGTCTGTTGTTGAAGCTGTTACTCCAGCCCTGCCCCACCCCAAATCTACTGTACATTGGTTCACTACTCAGTATCCACTACAGGTGGCTTCCAGATACTTTCCTTCCATAGCACACTATGTAATGGACTAAATAATACAGGCCTTCACATGGGAGCCAAGCAGATTCCATTCAGAAAGTCATTTCACTTTTACCCTTCTAAAACTAAAATGAAAAATACCACAAGCAAGCTCAAGGTCAGGTTTAAGGCAGAGAGGTGGTAGGAGAGATGAAAGGACAGAAAAGAGGTGAGCTCTAAGTGCAGAAACAGCAAGGTTCTCTTTTTTAGCCTGTGAGACTACAGTGTGATGTGTAATAGCTTACAGCTTTTTGCACAGTGGTGCAAGAACATTCAGAGTTTCCACTCTTGACTCAGACATCATGGCTCGGACAAACCACACTCCCCCTGTTTCTCCCTGTGTCTACCCAAGAGCTGGGCACAAGTCAAAGAAAAGCTCCATCTTAGGCAACCAAGACTGTGTGAATGTGAATAATTGTGCATTAGTACTATTTTAACATCCTTACACAATATACTTGGCTTCCTTGTCTAGGCATACTAGATTTTACATTTAATGGTCAGCAGGGTCGATCTAAAAACAGTTCATCTCCATCATCATATGTGAGAAAATTCACTGTTTCTGGTATATAATGAAGTCTTGAAACTGAAAGGTGCAAATTCGTAATACAATATACTTGAAAGACTACACCATTGGCCTTAACCAACTGCTTGGAACCTGTGGCAGGAAAAACTGAAATGCATATCTCTGGCTCCCCTTGTTAACTCAAAACACAGGATTTGTTTATGGTTGTCAGCTATGACATAACATTCATCTTCATTAAAAAGCAAACACCAATGTACTGTTCTGTTTTCAATTTTCTGTACTACTCTGTAACCCTTCAAAGCCAGACTCTTTTAACA